GTCGCGCGACCAATACTCCACGTCGTCGTCGTCGTCGCCGCCCGGGGCGCCCTCGGGAAAGACATCTTCCGTGGTGCCGGCCTCCGTGCCAGCGGGACACTCCTCGTCGGAGTCCGCCACGGCGTCGTCAGCGCCCACAGCAGATTCGTCCCACGTGCACCCTTCTTGCCCGCCCCAGCGTGGTGGTGGCGCCGGCACTTCTACATTCTCATCTGGGGCCTTGTTGAGTTCAGGTTCAGAGAGGTACTCGTCGAAACGCCGATGGGTTCAGGAGCGTGAGCATGGGGGGATTCGGAGGAGCAGGAGGAGCAGGCGGCGCAGGAGGCGCTGGAGGAGATGGCGGCGCAGGTGGCTTGGGAGGATGTGGTGGCACTGGGGGCTCTGGTGGGACACGGCTATACCAGCCGTCCTCGGTAACTCGATAGGCGGGCCTAGGCATCTTCTTGAAGAGAAAGTGGGTGCCAATGGATTCCGCCATGGCTCCTGCAGCGTGGCGGGCGAAACAGGAAAACGAATGTTAAAGTGCAAGAATGGGAGAAGAGAAATGGACTTATGAGGGGACCCCTTCGAGGGAGCGGCTCGGGGTCCTCGTCGATGTCAGACGGTGACCCCTTGCCTAAACCCGCAGAGGAGTGTTCGCGGCACCTCACATGCTGCGCTGGCAGGGCATATTCGTGCCCTTTCTAGAAGGGTCGGACGAGATGCTCCTGGTTGGCAACGCATGCGAAGGTGATTGGGCCGCACGGCAGGTTACGCGTCAGCCCTGGCAGATGCGTTGCTTCGGGACGGGTTTTGTGCGGTGGGAAATTGAGTCGCTGCTGTTTTCGCCTGTTTTTTCATGCACGAATCCACGAGAACGTTTCACATTCGTGTTTGCCTTCAAGCCCGAGTCCCAAATCGCACATCGCAAGGGTCAAGTTTTTAAAACTTGATGCTGTGAAGTTTGTAAACTTGAAGGAGCGGCACTTGCAAAGTGGGACAATTGAGCACCCACCACCCACCCGCCCCGCATTCCGTGCGAAACCTGTTATCGCACGTTCACGGAGAGAGGAAAGGCCACACGCCATATGTCGGCCTGCAGGGCAGCGGACGCCCAGCGTCGTGCTCAGGCGCTTGGGTTGACCCGCGACGTCACAGATGACTCGGACGGCGAACCCCCGCCACCACGTGATATCAGTGAAGAGGTATGGGCCGCAGTTCCTACATGGGACTGGGAGTCGTTTTTTGGGATCGAATTGGTGCCAGGGAGAATCATGCGTCGTATCCCACAGCGCGCTAGATTGGGGGTGCTTGATGCACTGTCTTGTGTCCTGAAGCGGCTACAGTTAAAGGCAGCAGACGAGGCGGCGTCCTTGGTCTTTTTGGCCTTCCCTCGTCTTATCTTGGGGATGCCAACTGGGCAAGGCCAGGGGCATAGGGCGGCAATCAGGGAGCGGTTGGAGAAGTTTTGGGTCGGGGAGTGGCGGGAGCTGTTTGAGTTGGCGGTGGCGGTAATGCAACCTGCGGCGCATCCTTTGTCCTTCACCCCCCCCGAGCATGATCCTGATGCGGTGCGCCTGGCTCGCTGCCGCACAAGGTGCAAAGTGGGAGAATGGAGTCGGGGTTTGGCGTGTCTTACTGCCGGTAGCATCGCTCAGCCCTCTCAGCACATGGTGGACGCGCTGCGAGCGAAACACCCATCGAGCGAGACCGCCATTCCGGAGTGGTTGCAGGAGGAGATAGTTGAGCCTTCCCTTATCCCGCAGCTCTCAGTGGAGGTACTTGGTCAGGCGATCCACTCTGCGGCTAGGGCGTCGGCACCAGGACCGTCGGGGTGGGTGACGGAGCACCTGCGCGACACTTTTCTCTCTGAGCCCGCATACCTGCCTCACCTGCTAGGAGTCTTCACCCAGTGGACCAAGGGAGAGGTAGCGGAGCGCGTGCGACCCTGGCTCACTGCGTCCAACCTTGTGGGCCTGTCGAAGCCGAATGGTGACGTTCGCCCGGTGGCCATAGGCGAGGTGCTCCCCCGCATACTATCTCGGGCCCTATGCATCGTGCTTCGGCCGAAGATGATGTCGCACTTTGCGCCGTGTAACCAGCTAGGAGTCGGCTCCAGGTCGGGAGTGGAAGTCCTCGCACATGCCTTTCGTTCTGCCATCTCTACTCACCCGTCATGGTGCGCGCTTCAAATTGATGTGGCGAATGCTTTCAACTCCTTCCATCGGCGGGAAATGTTTGAAGGACTTCGACAGTCGCCTTTTGCGGGTTTTATCCCATTCCTGCGTGTCTTCTACGGCACTCCTAGCGACCTCTACCTCCGTGCGGGCCCCTTCGTCGAAGCTTTGGCTTCAGAGCGAGGATCGAGGCAAGGGGACCCATTGGGGCCGTTTCTGTTCGCGTTCACACAGCAGCTGGTTATGGAGCCCACCAAACAAGAATTCGCCGACCTACTCTTTCTCAGCTACGCCGATGATACGTACATCTTGGGGCCTAGGGAGCGGGTGCTAGCAGCTTATGAGGTCTTGCGGGAACGACTGGGCGGGCTTGGTCTGGAGGTGCAGCCGCATAAGTGCAAGCTTTGGGAGCGAGGGGTGGACCAGGAGGGAGAGGAGAGGAACGAGACCGTCCCGCCCGGCATGCAGCAAACATGGACGGGGCTCACCGTGGTGGGGGTTCCTATTGGGGAGGAGGAGTGGGAGGTGGCCAGCTTGCGAGGCCGGCTGATGCAGCTGCATGCACCTGTCCCTTGGCTTCCTTTGCTCGACCACCCACAGATTGCGTCCCATCTGCTGGCGATCGCAGTGTCAGCGCGCCCGATTTACCTCACAAGGACGATGCCTCCACGGCCTGAGGTTGTGGAGGCTTTCCGCGACTGGGACACGAAGCTTGAGGATTGTTTTGAGCAGCTGTTTCCAGATAGCACCTGGGATCATGATTCGGCAAGGTCGCAGATGGCTCGTCTACAGCTGCACCTTCCAGCCAGACTTGGAGGGTTTGGCATTCGATCTGCAGCTGACCTTAGCCCTCTGTCGTACGCATGTGGTTGGTGCCAGGCAGTGAGCGATGTGGCTCGGATGGGGGTGGCAGGGGAGGAACGGATGTTTGAGGAGTTTTTCCGCACGCCCGAGGCTACGACCTTGCTGGATCCTTGGTTTGCGAGAGCAGTGGAGCTGCTGCCACAGTCGGTCAGGCAGGAGATGCCACCCCTAGCCTTATGCACCGCTGACCCCCCTGTGCTGCTTTTCCCCACACAACACCGTCGCCTAGCGGTTGAGAGTCTGCAGACTCTTCGGGGTATGGCCCACGACGACGCCACCATGGCCCGTTTGACATCCCTTCAGGGCCCGGGGGCAGGGGCGTGGGTCTCCGCCGTCCCTTCGCACGAAGAGGCTACCTTCACCGCAGCCGAGTGGAGCATCTGTGCGTCCATGCGCCTAGGCCTCCCCATACAGCAGCTGATAGTCGCCGGCAAGTGCGCGTGTGGGTTTGAGTTTGCTGATCCCTCTGACCCGCATCATGCCCTTCGCTGCAAGTACCAGTACGCACCTTCTCGTGTTCACGACGCGGTTAAGTTTGTGGTGGCGAAGATAGCTAAAGGGGCGGGTGGGGTCGTGACCATGGAAGACGACACGTTGCTGCCAGGGAAGAGGGTGGATGTGGCGGTGCGGAGACTGAGGGAGGGGGAGGAGCATGCGCTGGAGGTTAGTGTGGTGGACCCTATCTCGTTGTCCGCGCAGCACCATGGACAGATTGGTCGCAAGGTGGGTTTTGCCGCTAGAGAGAGGGAAAAGCGGAAGGCGGCGGACTACAAATTGCTTCTGCAGCGACATAGGGGAGTGCAGTTTACACCTCTCATTGCTGAGACATGGGGTTGCCTGGGGGGGAGTTTTGGGCGGTGGCTTAAGAAACAGGGCGACGCGCAGATTGAGGTAGCGAAGACGAAAGGGGCGGCGAGAGCTACGGGGAAAGGTTTCTCGGCTTACTTGCTTGGATCACTTAAAGCGGCCATAGGTGTGGCTTTGCAGCGGGCTCAGGCGCGTGTGATCTTGTTGCGCGCGGCGTCGATGATGAGAGGCCCAGAGGCTGTTTCGGTGGAGCGGGAGGATTTTGAGGAGGAGATGGGATGGGATGCTCCGTGGGCGGATGCGCCCTATTTGGTGGACATGCGGGTTTAGAGGGTGGGTTTAGGTGAGGGGGGTGGGGGGTTTGGTTAGATGGGGCGTATTGTTGGGGTGTCTCGTTGGGGTGTCTCGTTGGGGTGTCTCGTTGGGGGTATCTCGTTGGGGTGTCTTTTGGGGTTCCTTATGTGCTGTTCTACTGGGGTGTTCTTGAGGCTGCGTTTTCCGTTTTTCTTTCATTTAAAACTGAAAAAGATGTAACTGACGAAAGTCTCGAGTACCCAAAAGTGTTGTGCAATTGCTACTGGAAAAACAAAGGATTGGCTGTGTGTGGCGAAAACACGATTTTCATGAAATACAAGCTCTCGTCACAACCCAAAAACTGAACTGCCCCTCGGTCAACCTTTTAAAACATGAACAACTTGGGACTCGGGCTTTAATGTTGGCTTCGATTTGCTACCCTTTTGAACAAATGTCATTTTTTTTCCTTTATATACGCGCATGCGCTTATGCCCTATACTCATTTACAAGCGTCCCCCCTGAAAAGGTTGATTTTATTTTAAGCGCACATGCGCTACAATCCGGGGTGATACGGTAATTTCTCTGAACATGTAGCGCACTGTGCACTACTTTTTGTTATAATGAGAATGTCATGCCTCGGTGTCTCACTTCATAATCTGCTGGGCTTCCAGCAAGTAACTCCACTCTTCCACCTTTCCATATGCGGCAAATCTGGCGCATGCCATAGAGGCGAAATTTCCAGTCGATGCCAATATGGTTCTCTGACGGCCTTCTCTTTAATTGGTGTTGTGTGGGAGCTGTAATGAGGAAACCATGTCAAACCAATGAAACACATATTCAAGAAACCACAACCACCAATCCAGCATTATGTACAATGGCTCATGCGGAACCCCAATGCATACCTTGAATGGTATGCCCCAGCATTCTGGATAAAACCTTATCCACAAAAAACGCAAAGCACATGAGCAGGACGAGCAGCGCAGACAAGCCTAGCGCCGCTGCTAGAAGAACCTTGGAGAGATGGCAGTTCTCCCCATTGGCACAACCCCTACCCACACAACGTTGACACAAGGCAACGTCAATGAACAAATAGCTGGAGGGCAGTCAAGATATAGGGTGTAGTGTGGAGGAGGAGGAGGAGGAGGGGGAGGAGGAGGAGGAGGAGGAGGAGGAGGAGGAGGAGGAGGAGGAGGAGGAGGAGGAGGAGGAGGAGGTGGTGGAAGAGAGAGAAGAGAGGAGACATGGGAAGACCAACCCAGCTGGGTGGAAAATTAACCAGTGACAACGTGCAGCCACCACCCAAAAATCATCAAACTACAGTCATCAACCCCTCGGGGCCTCATATCAGCAGTTGCTGGCGTTTTGCTGCTGGATCACCATCACGCGTCTCACCAATTGAAGCCCGAGTCAAAGCTGCCAGTGACCATCATGGACTCCTCTCCGCCCCCGCCCGAGTAGGCGAACGGGGAGTAGGGGTGGGGGAAGAGCGTGGGGAGGCTGGCGGGCTCTCCTGTGAAGTACGACTCGATGAGCCCCAGGAATGGCATCGACACCATGGCCAGCGCAATGGCTATTCCTGTGGTGCGCACATGGGCAGATATGGGGAGAAGAAACGAACATGTCATCTGTATAACCAGCATGTGAGTAGGGTGAGAGCGAAATCAGCAGGAACTCAGCGTGATGTGAAGGAGAACCATAATTTAAGTCTACCACCGCTCAAATCGTTGTGAGGAGCGGGGGAACATGAGGGGGAGGGGAGGAAAGGAAAAGCCGAAAGGGGAGGGAGCGGAGGTGGGAGGGAGGAATTGGTATTTGGGAGGGATAGATTGTTAGCACGCGTACCTACGGTCGCAAGAATCGCAACAAGAACGAGCGAGATGTTGGCAGCAGCGCCGTTGCCCTCGGGCTTCTTGAACGTGAACGGCTTGGGAAGCGAGTCGCGCGGCGGCGCGGGACTCCAGAACGACTCCCTGAACATGCGATCGCTCAGGTGCTTCTGCAGTCGCCGACCAATCCGGTGCCTCGGCGTCTCCAGCGACAGCAGTCGCCCAGACCCCAACCCGGGCGAAAGCTCGTCCAGAACAGGTGTGGTGCTTCCGCCGCAGGGCGAACGCGTCGTGCTGCTGTTGGTGCTGTACGGCGACGAAGCAGATCCGTTAGATCCCTGCGACCACGTGCGACGGATGGCGAACGACCCGCGGCTGCTGGCGCCGCCGCTGCTCCCGCCGTTGCCTAGGCCGCGGTTGAGGCGAGGCGGGCGGGAGGAAGAGGAGGAGGATTGACGGGAGGGGGATCGGTTGGCGTATTCCATCATAGACGCCTCTAGAACGCGCATAAGCGGGTAAGGCTTGAGCGACGACTGCTGCCACAGCGGCTGCTGCTGCTGTTGCTGCTGTTGCTGCTGGCGATAGTCAGGAGGAGAGCCGTTATAGTCGCTACGCTGATCACCACGGTAGCTGCTGCCGTAGCTGTTGCCGTAGCTGCTGCCGCAGCTGTTGCTGACGGCCCCAGATGGAGTGCTGTTGGGCGTGGTGACGGTGCCGGTAGTGGTGCGAGGACTGGTGTTGTAATAAGACTGGTTTCTAGTAGAGAGGTTTGCCGCCGCCATGCTACTTGGGAACGAAAAGAATAACCGGATCTTCTTGCTATAGGGAAGATGCAACTCGCCGATCTGCCGAATCCGTGACCTAGGTACTCAGATCCTCGCTGGTTCTCAAGATTCCCCAAGTGCTACTAGGAGTGAAGGTTCAGTCACATCACACCAGTTTGTAGTGAAAAGACGGAGAGGCGCCTACTCCCGTGACGCCACGGAACACGTTGCTGCTGATGGCGACGACCGATAAGACGTAGAGGCGCGAGGGAGGAGGTCGTCTCGTCCACGTACAATGCTTCTTGAGCAAGCAGCACGGCGGTAGCAGCAGGCAGAGTAATCAGCAGCAGGCGGAATCCATTTGCTGACGACGGTAAGCCGAGAAGGCGAAGCGTCGCAGTCTTTCGTCACGTGACTGTTTTACAGTTGAGGCCGCACGCTTGCCTGAGCTTCATCGATACGACAGCCTCGCGACTTGTTGCGCTCTGCTCGACGACCACCGGTTTGCGTCCACGTGGAGGCACGTCAGGCGACCTTCGGTGGGCCCCATGACCTCGATAAGAGGCGATTCGTACGGACACGAAAGGGTTCATGGATCAGGACGCGCACCGCGTCGTGACTGACAGGCTGACGAGGGGGTTTAGGGAACGTCCTTAGATTCCGCGAAAGTGGACAGGCCGAATTCATTCTCGAAATTATCGAACAGCGACGATTAATCTGCGTCAGCAAGAAGCGTCGCGCCGGCGCGGAATTCTCGCGGAGTGAATCGTCACGAGAGCGTTCCGGTTGCGGCATGTTGGAAGCGTGTCAACGTGATAAGGGGAGAAGGAGGATGACGATTGCGAAAAGGCAATATGCATTCGTGGAAACCCAATATGCACGAGTGAGCTGTCCAGCTTGACAGCTCGGGACGAGAATTTGTGGAAAACCCGTACTGTTTTCGAGGCGTTAAAGTGCATGCCACAAGAAGAACACGGCTGTAAAACAGCTCGATCTCATGGTAATGTGCTTGTTGACGAAAACGTTCAGGACCGCATTTAGCCGTTGTATATTAGTAGAGCATGTAATCCAACCGTGTAAAAAGCTGGGGAGTGTGTACTGGAAGGCGCCGCGCGAAATTGGCATGCAAGACTGAGCTGACGTGGTGGGAAAACGATTCCAGGTGTCAGCAGGCGGGAAACTGGAGTTTTTCCAGGTTCTGGTCCGGTTGGCAGGTGGAGGCAAATGTTGGGTAGCATACTCTTTGTAAAAAAACTTGTCGGTAAGCAGCTGTTTTTGTTTTCGTGTATTTGGTAAAAACTTATTACAAAGTTAAGGATATGGCACCGAGGGGTTAGCGGAGGTTTAGCACGGTAACCATTCAGAGCAGCTACTTCATTTCAGAAACATTCCGACTTCCGTTGATCACGGGGCAAGATTTTAGCTGTCAGAATCCAGTCATGGCACCTGCTTCAGGTCAGAAACAAGCCGCGGAACAAACACCGAAACCTGCGCCCGATGAAGCAGCAGCAGGAGAAACAGCAGCAAATGGAGCATTCGAATATCCCGACCCGACGGCGGAGGGGGACTGGCGATTCGATCCGCAGTTAGAATGGCAGGCAGGCGTCCGCGCGTACCTGTCGCAGGCGTACGGTGCGGAGCGGTTCGAGCACATCTGCGCGGCTCTAAGGTGCGGTGACGGCAGTTTCCGCTGCTGTTGATTGGATTACCAGTTGCTTGGATGCGCATTCCGGTTTCAACGTCTTGAAATTTCGCGATACATTATGTCCCTGCAAATGCTCCCGCTTTCCCTTCTTCTTTCCCGCAGCGCCCACCCCCCTTTCCCCCTCTTCTCGTCTCCCCTTATACACACATCTCCCCCATTCCTTCCCCCTCTCTCCCCTCCCCCCGTTCTCCCACACCTCTCCTCCTTTCCCCTGTCCATCCCTCCCGCCACAGCCGTCCTCCCCTGTCAGTGTGTCTGCGCGTGAACCCCCTCCGCACAACCACCGGAGATGCGCTCATTGCGGTCGCGGGCGCGCTGGGTCTGGATCCTGGGGGAGGGGGAAGGGGGGGAGGACGGGAAGAGGCGGCAGCGAAGAGCAGGGAAGGAGCGTGGGGAAGTGAGCGAGAGGAGAGGACGGGAGAAACGATCGTTGCTGATGCTGATGGTGACTCTGACGCGGGGAACGTGGCGTCAGCTCGCCTGGTTTGCAGGGAGCATCCTCTTGTACCGGGTGTGATTATAGTGGAGGGCACAGGGCCTCACAGAGTGTCGTATGAGGCGGGAGAGCAGAGCAAGGGCAGCAGCGGTGGTGGCGGTGGTGGTGGGGATGGGCGTGGGCGTGGGCGAGTTGACGAAGCAGAGAGAGGGACGGAGGGGGAGCGAGACGGAGGGGAGGGAGAGAAGGGGAAGGAGGGGAGGGAGGGGAAGGAGCAGAAGGAGGGGGAGAAGGGTGACGGCAGAGGGAGGGAGTCGGAGGGGAGGATAGAGCGGATGAAGCAGGTGGTGGTGAGCAGAAAGTGTGGCGAGGCTGTGCTGCGAGGGGCCAATGTGAGTGAGTAAGGGGGACATGTGAGGGAGAGGCGCATGGAGGGAGTGGGGGGGGCATGGAAGTGGAGGGTGTGAGTGAGTGACCTGCGGGGAATGCAGCGCACAGGAACACGCACAGCGATCTCACAAGCGCCGTAGCGCTGTTGTGTTTCTCCGTGAGCTCACGAGGCACGGCCCATCCATCCACTCCACGCACAGCAGTGAGGTGTATTTTGAGGCGCCTCAAAATCCATCCACTCCACGCACAGCAGTGAGGTGTATTTTGAGGCGCCTCAAAATCCATCCACTCCACGCACAGCAGTGAGGTGTATTTTGAGGCGCCTCAAAATCCATCCACTCCACGCACAGCAGTGAGGTGTATTTTGAGGCGCCTCAAAATCCATCCACTCCACGCACAGCAGTGAGGTGTATTTTGAGGCGCCTCAAAATCCATCCACTCCACGCACAGCAGTGAGGTGTATTTTGAGGCGCCTCAAAATCCATCCACTCCACGCACAGCAGTGAGGTGTATTTTGAGGCGCCTCAAAATCCATCCACTCCACGCACAGCAGTGAGGTGTATTTTGAGGCGCCTCAAAATCCATCCACTCCACGCACAGCAGTGAGGTGTATTTTGAGGCGCCTCAAAATCCATCCACTCCACGCACAGCAGTGAGGTGTATTTTGAGGCGCCTCAAAATCCATCCACTCCACGCACAGCAGTGAGGTGTATTTTGAGGCGCCTCAAAATCCATCCACTCCACGCACAGCAGTGAGGTGTATTTTGAGGCGCCTCAAAATCCATCCACTCCACGCACAGCAGTGAGGTGTATTTTGAGGCGCCTCAAAATCCATCCACTCCACGCACAGCAGTGAGGTGTATTTTGAGGCGCCTCAAAATCCATCCACTCCACGCACAGCAGTGAGGTGTATTTTGAGGCGCCTCAAAATCCATCCACTCCACGCACAGCAGTGAGGTGTATTTTGAGGCGCCTCAAAATCCATCCACTCCACGCACAGCAGTGAGGTGTATTTTGAGGCGCCTCAAAATCCATCCACTCCACGCACAGCACTGCACAACGCTCCAGCATTGCGGCTTTAGGCTCTCTTGAAAGAAAGTACTCAGATGTGAAGTGAAGTGAATCCAGTGTAACTCAACACCAACATGCAGCCCAGCCAACATCCAACATCCGCCTTGAAGTCTCCCTTTCTTTCGCACCAACATTTTCTGTCCGTCCCTTCCCCTCCCCTCGTACCCTTCCCTCTTCTGTTCCTCTCCATTCCCGGTCTCTCTCCCCGTATCGCCCGCCCATCCATCCCCACAGGTGTTAGTGCCTGGAGTGCTGGCGTGCAGCCCGGGTGTGAAGCCGCGTCTTCACGCGCGTCAATCATAGACTCGCCGGCCCTGTTGTTGTGTCTCACCCACCCGCCCACCCGCCCAACTGCCCATCCATCCCCACAGGTGTTTGTGCCCGGAGTGCTGGCGTGCAGCCCGGGTGTGGAAGCAGGTGACTCTGTGGCCGTGTGCGTGGCCATTGAAGCACGCACGGATGGGGCGGAGGGAGAGAAGGGAGAAGGGGGAAATGCGGGGGAGAGGATAGAAGTCGGAGAGGGGGAAGAGAGGGGAGAGGGTTTAGGGGAGGGAGGGGAGGGAGGGGAGGGAGGGGAGTGGTCGGTGGGGCTGACTCGAGGAGCAACGCTGGGCTCGGCTCACACACGTGCAGGTGATGGGGGAGGGAGGGCCATGGCGTGGGGCATGGCGTGGGGCATGGTGCATGGTGGCCGGGCATGGCATGGAATGGCATGGTTGAACAGGGTACAGTCCAAGGCGTCCCTCCCATGCCCTGCTCTGTCCCCACGGCTTTGAGCACCATGCCTGCTTGTGCTTTATCAATTTTCAAGTACTCCCCCTCCCTGCTCCTCCCTGCCCCTCCCTCCCTGTTCCTCCCTCCCTCTCCCTGCCGCCCCTCCCTCTCCGCGCACAGGTTTTGAGAGGCGGGACCGGTCGAGGTGGTTCATAGGCAAGGGCGTGGCGCAGCTGTCGCGGGCCGCCATGTTCCGCGCCTCCCATGGCGTGGCTGTCGCCCTCTCCCACCGCGCCTTCCTGCTGCCGCCCTGCCACGGTGCGCTGCTCTGCTCTGCTGTTGCTGCGCTGATGGGAGGGGGCAGTTGACAGGGGGGAGTGGATGGGGGAATGGGACAGGGGAAGTGGATTGGTTGGCAGGGGTTAGGGGACAGGGGACAGGGATCGTGGGGCAGGGGGCAGGGGGAAAAGGACAGGGGGGATGTGACAGACATTATGGGGCAAGGGGACAGTGCGAGGAGGAAACGAGAAGGGGAGAAGGGAAAAGGGGGGGACAGGGACATGGGAATGGTTGGTGGCTTGGGAGGGGCAGCAGAAATAAGGAAGGGGAGTTGGGTGGTAGTGCGGATTGGTTGGAACTGCGTGCATGCTGACATGGGAATGGATGGCACTGCATGGTGGTGCTGTGTTCTGTTTTGCCCTGATCATACACACACCATCTTGATCATACACACACCATCTTGATCATACACACACTCTCTGTCTCCTCCTCCTCCTCTCCCTTGGCCTCTCCCATCCCTTCCTATCACCAACCTTCGTGCGTGATCAATCTGTGTCCGTCCAACGTGCCACCGCCATGCCCTTTCACGCACTCACTGCACGTTGAGTCGACGGTAAGGCCCCTGCATCCCTCCTGCACCCCCCGCCTTCCTTGCATCTGTTTCCCCCGCCCCCTCTCCTCCCTCTTCCGTCCTCGCTTCCTTCCCTCACTCCTGCCTGTTATCTGTCTGTCCCTTCCTGTCCCTTCCTGTCCCTTCCTGCCCCGTGCTGCTCGTTTTCCTTCCCGTTGTCGTCCACCCCTCGCCCCTCTTCCCCGCATCCAGACATCCTCCCAGGCGGCCATGTGTTTCTACAGAACCTCCCCAGCATCATCACTGCACGAGTGTTGGGTGCGTACCATGCCCATGCCCATGCCCATGCCCATGCCCATGCCCATGCCCATGCCCATGCCCATGCCCATGCCCATGCCATGCCCATGCGATGCCCATGCGATGCCCATACCATGCCCATGCCATGCTGTCATCTCTCTCAATCTCTCAGTTGCCAACAAGTCGTTTCTCAGCTCTTCAATGCCCACTTCTTGCCTCCATCACTGCCTCGCCCTCCTCCCTTTCTCCTCCCGTACCCTCACTTCCTTCACCCCACATTCCTTCGAACCCAACCCTCCGTTCCTCACCCTCCCTGTTCTTGTTACCCCTTCTTCTTCCCCCTCCTCCTTCTCCCCCACTTCTCCTCCCTTCTCGTGACCAGCCCCCCAGGCAGGCGAGCGCGTGTTGGACATGTGTGCAGCACCGGGCGGCAAAACCACAGCATTGGCCATGCTTATGCACGACACTGGCACCGTCGTGGCGTTGGATCGCTCGCACAACAAGGTGAGGCGACGCTTCCACAGGGAAGGAGAATGCTGTTTGAGTGCAGCCAGGGCTAGGGTGGAAGGCAAAAGGGGTGGTTTTTCTGGCATCCAAAGGCGAGTGGGTGGGTGGATGGATGGGTGCGTGGGTGGGTGGGTGGAAAGGGTGGATGGGTGATGGGTGAGTGGGTGGGTGCATCTTGGTGACGTAAGAATCCTGCCTGTTGATCCATGCAGATTCAATGCACAACCAGTTCCACCCTCACACATTCAGTTCCCTTTGTTCCTCCTCCTCCTCCTTCTCAGTCGCTTCCTTGGATAGATTCCCTTACGCAGCTGTGCAGGTAGGGCGTAGCAGGTGCTGGCAGCGGCAATGGAAAAGAGAGATGCGCCTCACATGCACTCATCAACCACGCCCCGCCCCGCCCCACCCCACCCCTCCCCAACCCATCCCATCCCATCCCACTCCACCGCAACCCACCCCGTCGCACCACACCACCGAAGTTGCTGCCACTGAAGCTGCAGCTTCTGAGCCTGCTGCCTTGCAGTCTTGTTGCCCACTCTCCCTTCTTGCCCTCTACCGCCTCTGCCCTGCATGCACGGCCTTGCCCCTCCAATGATGGGCCATAGCTATTTCCAAGGCGCGGGGTGCTTTAGAGGAGTTTATAAAACAGGTGCGGGGATGAATCTTGAATTCATCTCGTCCCCAAGAATCGCCTCCCATTCCCCCATCCCGCCTTTTCCCCATCCCCCCATTCCCTGATCCCACCATCCCCCCATCCCGCCACCCCCCCCATCCCCCGCCATGGGTGATCCATGATGATACGGGGCGAGGCACCATCAGGTGCGGGGCATACGCGCAGTGGCAGAGAAGATAGGGCTCACATGCATCCATGCCAGCCACCACAGCCGTTGCTGCCACAACCCATTTCCTCATCCCCCCATTCCCCCATGCCATTGCACCATCAGGTGCGGGGCATACGGGCAGTGGCAGAGGAGATGGGGCTCACATGCATCCATGCCATCAAGATGGACGCTACCAGGGCTGTTGCCGCTGCTGCCCCCTCACCCTCCAAAGGTGCTGCTGCTGTTGACACTGCGCCTGCTGCTGCTGATGGTGGGGATGCTTCTGGTGGTGCCACTGATGCCGGCACGGGGGACGGCGTGGGGAATCGGAGCGAGGGGAGAGCATCGGCAGATGGAGCAGCAGCAGCAACAGCAGAGGGAGGAGCAGCAGCAGTAGGAGCAGGAGGAGCAGGGAGCAATGGTATGGCCACATGCAGTGAGTGCTGATGCTGCTAGCAGCAAATTGTTTGTGCGTTGAACTGAAGCAGGGTCTACATGAAGGCTGAAGCAAGTTTGAGAACGAACAGCCATTGCTGCCAAGACCTGACGTGACGCAACCTTTCCTTGCTGCCATGCTGCCATGCTGCCATGCTGCCATGCCCCTTGCCACCAACCCTTTAATCTCTCTGCATCTCGTTGCTTCCACCCGCCACCTCGGAATTCACTCTGGTCCCACACCCATCCGCATCCCCATCCCTTGCGAATGCCCATCCCTTTACCCATTCCCATCTTCATCACTTTCGTCTCCCCCTCCCTCCCCCTCCCCATCCCCATGTCCATCCCCCTCCCCATCCCCATGTCCATTCCCCTCCCCATGCCCCCCTCCCTTGTGAACCAGCCACCAGCAAGAGCAGAGCGGAGCAGCGAGAGGAGAAGCGGCGGCAGAGAGCAGGAGGCGGACAGGGGTGCATGAGGGGGGCGCGTGGGGGAGGGGGAGGAGGGAAGGAGGAACCGGGGGGGCAGGGGGAGGGGGAGGAGGAGGCGAGGGCGAGGGCTGAGGGGGGCTTTGAGGCGCACAGCTTTGACCGCGTGCTGCTGGATGGGCCCTGCTCTGCCCTCGGCCTCCGACCCCGCCTCTTTGCTGCCAATGTGTGTGCCTGGTGGTGGGTGGATAAGTGGTGGGTGCGTGGGTGGGTGGGTGGGTGTGCACTGAGGAAGGGGGTGGAGAGGGAGAGTGGCACGTGTGTGTCACCCTGTCTGTTCAACCCGTCAATCAACCTTCGTACCCTCCTCGTCTCACTTATCTTCTCCTCGCCACTCTCTCCCTCCCCTCCCCCTCCCCCCGTCCCCCAGGTGTCACTGGGAGAGCTGCGCAAGAATGCAGTGTACCAGCGCAGGCTCATTGATGCCGCCGTGCGCCTTGTCAAACCAGGCGGCACACTCGTCTACTCCACGTATTTCCCGACTTCTCCACACCATGGCCTCCCCTATTCATTGGGACTCTCCTCAACCATGCCACAAGCACCATGCCACACCATGCCACACCATGCCACAGCATGCCACCATCGCCACATCACGCAGATTGGCTTTGGAAGTTCCTGGCAAGGCCTTGCCAGTTGGTGGCACCATCTAGTTGCGTCTCCCACTCTCCCCCTTTCCTCCCACGTCTCATCCACATCCACTCGCTCTTTCTGCATCTTCTCCCCTGCCTCTCCTCCTCCTCTCCCCCCCTCTCCCCCTCCTCTCCTCCTCCTCTCCTTCTCCTCTCCCCTTCCTCTCCCTTCCTCTCCTCCTCTCCCACTCTCCTCGCCTCCACTCCCCCTCATCTCTCCCTTCTCTCCCCCCCCTCTCCCCCTCATCTCCCCTTTTCTCGCCCACCATCATCAGGTGCAGCATCAACCCAGGGGAGAACGAGGCCAATGTGCGCTATGCCCTCGACACCTACCCCCACCTCTCCCTCATCGCCCCTGTGAGTTACGCACACATGCACCCATATGCACCCACACACCCGCACCCATACACTCACACACCCACACACTCGCGCATGTGCTTCCAAGATTGTCAAGAACTTACCACTGAACCTTCTCTCCCCGTCTGTCCTGCCCTGCGCACCTCTCGCTCCCATTCGCTGCCATTCGCTGCCCTCCGCTGCCATCCGTTGCCGACCTCGCACACCCTGTACACCTGTCGCAGCCGCCCGAGCTGCACATGGGGCAACCGGGTCTTGTTGGGGGGCTCAACGTTTCCGATGGCACGGCATGCAAGTGAGTGCTGGCAGCTCGAGCGAGCCAGGCAACAGTTTCTTTCTGGCATTTTGAGTTGATTAAAACGGAAAGTGGGTCCTCGGCGTGTAATGAGGTTTGGATAGCTGACAATGAGCGCGTGTTGGACAGCGAATGCATGAGCGAGGGCAGTCGGTGCTTTTCTCTCCTCTCCTTCCCCCCTTCTCCCCACTCTCCCTGCTTACCCCACACTTCATCCCCCTGTCCTCTCCCCTTCCCACCGGTGCGAGCAGAGAGTGGTTGAGGGAGGGCGAGCAGCACAAGGTGATGAGCTTCCACCCCTCGCACGCCCTCGACACCATCGGGTTCTTCCTTGCCAAGTTCGCCACCTCACCAACCGCTTGCTCCTGCTGCCCACACTAAGGGGCACGCACACCAGTCAAGTCAACAGCATGAGAGGGCTGCTACACTGCCCTACTGCTGCCCAGATATGAGTTGCCTCAAAAGGTCGCTTCAACCACCTGTTCCAGCTGCTCGCAGTGACGAACACTCCAGGCAATGGGCTGATTGGGCTGCTATGCTTCTGCTGCTCGCTCTGAGACACTCATCATGATACAGTGCCCTGTATGTACTGCTTCACTGGTATCGACAGGCAACCATGCACTCACTACCACATCTGCGCTGCCTGTGCTGCTGCTGCTGCTGCTGCTGCTGCTCCATCCTCCCTCCCTCTCACCACTCCAGTTTCCACGGCCCTCGTCACCAGACGAAAACCGTTGC